TCCATCCGTCCGTCCATTCAGTCGCCCACCCATCACCATCCATCCATCCACCCACCTATTCATCCATCCATCCATCTGTCCATCCACTCACCCACCCATGGCAATCCATCGATCGATCTGTCCACCCACCCACCCATTCCCATCCATCAATTCATCGTCATCCATCTATTCGCGTAATGTTTATAGATCGAGAGATAGACGTACATCGATAGTATGCAGACAGATAGATACATAAATAGAGTCAAGTAGACAGATAGCAGCATATATAAATAGATAGATAGATTGACACATAAATAGAGACAGATAGAAAGGGGAAGATAAACTGAAAAAAATAAATCAATCCAGGGGCACGTATGCACAAGGCGGACAAGTTTTGTTGATACATGGTATGCTGGACCGACGTCCGTCATGACCAAAGTCTGTCTGAGTTTATGTGTGTGTGTGTGTGTGTGTGTGTGAGAGAGAGAGAGAGAGAGAGAGAGAGAGAGAGAGAGAGAGAGAGAGAGAGAGAGAGAGAGAGAGAGAGAGAGAGAGAGAGAGAGTATGCACAAAAGAAAATATCCTCCTTATTAGAGAGTCTGTTTGTGTCTGTTCCCAGACTGTTTGAGTTTGTTTGAGCCTATTTTGAGTACCTTTTGACTCTACTTTACTCTATGTTTCCATTTGAGTCTGTGTGAGCACTTCGAGTGATGCTTTCAGTGCTTTTTTGTGCGGGCATTGCCTGCACCGCCCGCACCGCGGGCGCTATGCTAGTATATATATATGTGAAAAATATATATATAGCCTACGGTTTACCGGGCAGTTCTATTTGACGATATATATACATATTTATTAATTAATTTATTTTTGTTTTTTTTTAAAAGCGCGTTTTTATCGCGCGACCTGTCGGACCAAGAGGAAGGGAAAGAAGAAGAAGAAGAAGAAAGAAAAAGAAGAAGAAGAATCAGAGGAACTTGAGGAAGTGATCGATGTCCGGGTTGAGCGGGGAAGGGAGAAGGGGAAAGAAAAGTTGTCAGCGCCGTTGGAGTCGTCGGCGCCTCCACTTCGTTGAAGTGGTGTTGCACAAAGGAGGGGTATAGGAAAGCCCCCGGCACGTGGGAGAGGACACGTGGCACCAGATCCGCAATGGCCCGTATAATTTGCCGGCGCACGGTGCGAGTCCTGGGACCCGTCATCACGAGATGGGTCTCGGTATATGGCCTGTGCTCCCTCTTGAGCACTGCGAGGATGAGGAAGTGGTACACCACGTTCGGTCGTTGGCCGGCCTCGTAGATGAGCATCCCCGCCAACCTGGCCGCGATGCATCCTTGGAATGGCGGCTTCAGATACGGTTCCCATGCAGGATCAGGGCGCGGGGTCCCCTCGATTGCCTCGAGCCTGATGGTTGCAGGCTCCACCACGAATTCGACATCCGTCGGGTGGACCATCCGACTCAGAGGAACTATTAAGGTCAATGACCGGGGCACCCCGGGGTGGATGACGGAAGCGGAACTGTCCTGCGAGGATGGGGGGTCTGGATGCGGGATATGGTACTCCTCCCACTCCTCCTCCTGCTGCGGCTGCTGCTGAGGGCCCAGTTCCATCGAGGTTGAGGTCGGGAAGTGGCGGTGGTGGCGGTATCGGATCTCGTTGGTTTCGCTGTGTCCGCGATCCTCCGATACCGACTTCTTCTCCCGGCCGAGGTCCCCCGATCGGCGCGGCCTTACTCTCTGGAACAAGATCGGCTTTCCGCGCTGTCACGTGCTGAATCACTTCCCCGACGGGCCCTATCCGGCTTCCTTGTGCTTCTGGCGATGGCTGGTGACGTCTCTTGTTGGGAGTCCTTTTTGGCGCCTTTGGGGCCGCCAGCCTTGGATAGGACGAGGGAGGCCGCAACGGCTTCTCGTCGTGGAAGTCCACCACCTCTTCCTCCACCTGTGCCAGCTAATCCGGGATAACGATCGAGTGATAGGTTCTGCGCGGAGCTGAGGCGGTCCGCAGTCGTGGTTGAAGATACTCTTCTTCACCGGCGATCACCTGCGAGATGGACAGGAGCTCGATATGAATGAGCTCCAACAGTCCCGACTCGTTCGTTCGGATCTTCCCGAATGGCTACAGCGCCACCGATCCCTCCTTCTGTTCTAGCTTGGGCCGCGCGATCACGTAGTAAACGAGCAAATGCTCGCCAACGTTATGGTCGCTGTGCTCGACGAAGAATGTGAACAGGCCAGCACGACCGATCGATATAGCGCCCGATGTAGCTCCCACGCGTCTTCGTCCGCAAAAGGCAGCGGCTCCATGTCAGTCAGCTCCACCTAATACTCAGAGAAATTGCTCATGGGATAGGGGTTTTCCGTGAGTTGATAGGGGAGGGTGGTGTAAGAGAAGAAGGGAGGCATTTAGGATTAGGGGGGGGGATGGCTTGGATGTTGAGGGGTGCAGCGGGAGGAAGGAGCGCGGGGAGCTGAGGCGCCAAGACGAGCGGAGCGTCTGGCACCTGTCGCAGCAGCGAATCGTATGTCGTAAAGCGGTGGCCGACCCCTCCCTGCACTCGTGCCACCGATCTGGCTACTTGCACCGCGTAATCCCATAAGAAGTCCTGCACCGGCTCCCGATGATGCTCGTCCAATATCGTTAAGTCGCCGACACAGGTGGCGACACTGTGCACGAAGTTGACGGCCACTTGGAGCGCGCAAAACTCGATAAACACCCTAGTTACCTCTCAACCAGGCAGTTGAGTCACATCCATGTACACCCCCGCATACGTCACCCGATGACACAACAACGAATACGTGGCAAGATCCGCAATGTCAGGCCCGACAATGTTCACTTGCTGGATGTCGTACCGTAACTGCCGATCGTCATTAAACCGATGCCGCAGCAAATGATCTATGATTGGCGTCTGAAAGTGCTCGACCGGTTCATGCTCGTGCTGGTGATGGCTCATCCTGCGCGATGAGACCATCAACACCGAGGGGCGATGCGAATCGGGAAGAGGAAGAAGCAGGGGAGGACGAGGAGAAGGAAGGGGAAGGCCCGGATGGGGTGAGGGCGGACTCGAGGTCCAGTGATGGCCGAAACAGCCCAAGAGCAGCCGCGTGTCATGTGAGCGGTCTGGCCTGTGTGTTGTGCCTGGGAACCTGCTTCACGGAGTGCTGGCCTTGTGCGTCAACTTCCGTCACCTCGTAAATGCCAGTGTAACGCGGGTGGATCTTGGAGGAGCGCACAGATTTCCGTACCTGTACCAGATCCCCGATTTTATAGCGGGGCAGTGGGCCTGCTGATGCGTGTCGGTTCTCATAGTCCCGGATCCGCCGTTGATGCGTGAGGTCCACGACTTTCTGCCGTCTTCAGGCTAGCGCAGGATAGATCCGGGCCATCAGGTCCATGTAGTGTTGGGCCTTGTCTTTGTGCTGAGCCCGGTTCGCTCTAACTTTCGTACCCACTAGAGGTGACAACTACACACGGGGGACGCTATTGGTTCTAAGTTGGAATGGGGACACCCCCGTGCTCCCGTGAGGAGTAGCCCAATAGACGGCCAGGATGTGGTCGACTATGACAGGCCAGGGTCTGGTATCCCCGGCAGTGATGTTCCGTCTAAGTGTGGTCTTAATCATTCGGTTGGCATTCTCTACGAGCCCGTTGGCTTGCGGCCAGTGACCTGGTGAGTACAAAATCCTAATGTCGCCGCCGTTACGTCGGCCCTTACAAGATATCGCTCTACTTCCCCTTGGAACTCAAATCCATTGTCCATATGTATCTCTTCTACATCCAGGTGCATGCATAAAAAATGATTAATGTACCAGACCACTTCTTGCGAGTTCCGGCTGGTCATGGGATAGGCTTCGATCCATTTAGAAAAATGCGACGGCCACTAAAAGGACATTGAGTTCTCCTTGGTCGACGGGACCTCTCGGTACGTTGATATCCGTCGTATCGATGCTAACCTGTTGGAAGGGGCGTTTTACCTTAGTCGGTACCATTGTTCGAGGCATCTGTATCGGCGCCTTATCGGTCGCGCAGACCGGGCAATTCTCAACGATGTGTCTGACATCTTCCCGAATTCCGTTTTTCTCTATAGCTTTTTTCGTGTATTTGACCGCAAAGTGGACCGCATCCTCTTCGTGGGCTGCTCGTGTCCAATCAAACCTAGCAAGAAGGTGCGGAACCGTCAGCCAGCTAGACCCACTATCCTCCGTATCTTTCCGTTTCTGTAAGGTCGACCCCTGCCATCAGTAATCATGAGCCTGTTACGTGACTTGCCGGCGTTCCGCTTTGGTAAGCTCCACCAACGGGTCTCCTTTGAGTCTCCGCAATAGGAGGAGATCCGTCCAAACCTCCGCTCTACGGACACCTGGCAAAAATTCGTCGTCTGTCCTAGCTTCTACGTACCGTTTCTCCGTGGGCACTCAGTCCGTTCTATAGTTGGGACAGTCTCATTTTTTCTCACTCCGGTACCGGACACAACTCCCGTGGGAGCAGATGACATGACACCGACTGCACTGTACCCAGGGAATGAAGCTAGGCCCTTCTAGAGGTGAATTCCCCCCGTCTGGTATCATAGGCAAGGTGCAGAAGAAGTAGGCATGAAAGGGCATACTAGAAGGGGAACTGGGATCAGAAGAGCGGGTTGAGGAACAGGGAAAAGATGAAGGGGTGGTGGCTTCCTCAGGGGAGATCGCCATCTCGAATCGTAGTAGCAATCTTGCGAAGGACATGCACTTCCCGGTAACGAGGTTCCGTCGGAGGCGAAATCGGCTTCCACGGAATGAGCTTTTCACTTGTCGGACTTTTGTTCGGCGGATGAAGGCGTGTCAGACCATTCGCATTCCCGTGTTGCTTGGTGGCTCGGTGGTGGATATCGAAGTCGTAATCCTGCAACCTTACCGCCCACCTACCCGAGGTTCCCGTGTAATCCGTATTGTCGCGTAACGACAGCAGCGGCTGATGGTCCGTCAGGAGCACGAACTTCTGACCGTAGAGATACGGTCGAAAATGCTGAATTCCCCACACCACCGCCAAGCATTCACCCTTGCACGCCTCATAGTTGGATTGCGCCTGGGTAAGTGTCTTCGATGCGTACTCGATGACGTGCTCCTTCCCATCTGCTCCTTGCTGGGTCAGCACCGCCGATATCGCCTGCGGATGCCAATCGGTGTGCAATGCGAACGGTTTTGTCGGATCCGGACGTGCCAGGATGGGCGCAAATTTGTAAGGGCTGCTTTGAGCGCCTGAAAAACCGCCTCACATTCTTGCGTCCAGATCAATTGTTCCTCCTTCTTCAGCAGATTCGTCAGCGGTTTGGCGATACAGGCAAATCCCCGAATGAAGCGTCGATAGTAGGAGGCTAGCCCTAGGACGGCTCGAACTTCAGTGAGCGTGACCGCAGCTGGAGCTTCTCAGACGGCTGCTTCCTTTCTTGGATCTGGCTTTAGGCCCTCAACCGTGACAATGTACCCCAAGAATGAAATTTCTGACAGGAAGAACTCGCTTTTCTCCAGAGCCACTTTGAACCCCACATCTTTCATCGCATGCAAAACCCACTCAACATGTTCCACATGGTACTCGTGTGTTTGGGAAAAGACCAAAATGTCATCCATGTACACAATCACACATAAATTTTTCAGGGGCTGGGTCAATCGGGTTTTGTTAACGAACTCCGCGAAGGCCATGTTCATGGCCCGCTGGAAAGTTGCAGGGCATTACATATTCCCATGGGACATCGGATCCACTGCCACGTGCCTTCGAACAAGACAAAAGCACTTTTGGGTCGGTCTTCCAGTCGGACGGCGACATGGTGAAAATCGTGTTGAATATCGAACTTCGAGAAGACTCGAGCGGACCCAATGGCGTCCAAGAGATCGTCGAATCGGGGCAGTGGATAGACATCTTTGGTAGTAACGGCGTTTAATTTCTGGATGTCAATACACACCTGGACGGCCCCGTTTCGTTTTGGCACGAGGACCATAGGGAAGGACCAGGGGCCAAGGGTGGGTTCCACCCATCCCAGCCGCTCGAACTCCCGTACCCTATCCAAGGCTAGTTGTCGCTCTTTTAAGGAATATCGGTACGGTCGATAGTGTATCGGGGCGTGATCCCCGGTATCAATCGCGTGTTGTATCAGGTGCGTAAGTCCTATATCGTGGTCCTGGGTGCTGACGGCCTCGGGGTAGGCCCGTATAACTGCCAGGAGAAGGCATTTCTACTCGTCGAGCACATGGGCCGGTAGTTGAACGTCGACATTTCCCCCGGGGAGGGAAACCGTCGATGTAACCGTGGGGACCGCAACATTTGCTTCCGGCGAAGTGCCAAACAAAGAATTGTCGGTTTTCGCCGAGAGCACGGTCGCTATGAGTTGACGGTCCGACTGGCTTATCGGTTCCCTCTTCATGTCGTTCTCGCCCTCAAGTTCGATTTCGGCCGAGGGCTCTACTGAAAAGGCCTGTAAGAGCTCCCTCGGCCCCCATTGATATCCCGGGGTTCGGGGTTGAAAGGATACCCCTTCCGCCAAAAGTAGGGCGGCCTTCTCATTCGTAAGTAGGGGCCGCGGAGGCCTAAAAGACAAATCATACAGCCCCCTGAGTTCAGTAAATCTTTCCAGAAGGGGGTCCATCCAGAGATACAGGGACGCAGGGGGTTCCGAAAGGTCAGTTATCCATGACACCCTCAATATAGGTTCTCCCGTGAGATTGGAGGAGAGCGCTTGGGACCAGTTAGACTCACTTCGGACTATTTTCATGGGTTCCCGTCGCCAAGATTGGCGCCACCAATCTTGAATTCTGATCGGATATCGGTCAGGTTCATCCGAATTGTCGGTTTCAGTTGTGGCTCTTAGTTCACCTCGGGGCGTCCATCGGATCATATTGATCCTGTGGACCTTCGTGGAGATTCGCGACGCCGATTGTGCGCGCGTACGCACAACCAGCCTCATCGATATCGTTTGAGGTTTGGGGTGAGCCGATGTGAGCACCACCTTACAGTTGTCAAAGTGCATTCGCGCTCCTACCGCCGCCTGCCATGGGATCCCTAACAGCATATCGTACGCCTGCACATCCAATACGATCGCGTCGCATAAACAATGCACCCGCCCTACCCGTATAGGAACATTCGTAATCCGCCCTTTGCAATGAATGTTGTCTTCTGTAGCGGATACATACAGTTCATCCGGGCGGAGGGGCTGAACCTGTCCCTCCCGGCCCAAACGCTTCGTTAATCCCCACGAGATGGCTACGGCCGGCGATCCTGAATCGAGGATGGCGGTTGAGGGACTTCCCCAGACCTCGCAGTCGCACTCAACGCTTTTTCAGGTTATCAGGTAGGCCCGGAGGAATACTTTGGGCTTCTCCAAGGCAAGATCTGCAGCTTGGATCATTCCTACCCGGTTTGCCTCTAGAATCCTCGAGGTCGAGGGTCGTCCTTCGGCAGCCGACTGCGGATCGTTTATGACCAACTTTTTGCGTTTTCGGCTTTCCTCGAACCGACATCCGTTCTTTAGGCACCGTTCGGTCAATTTCTCGTTGGCCGCCTCAGAAATGGTCAGCAGGTAAGGGATGGGAACAGGAATCCGTAAATCCAAAGCCTTCAGGGCATCCAACACATCAATGTTGCCGTCCTTATACTCAGGACCAGGGGCCGCAAGATCTTCGAACCCGGGTCTCCAAGGTCCGAGATCGCTCTCCTCGGTGATCCGTTGGAGATGACGTATTACTCCAATGGTCTCGGGTTCGAGCATGGCCGCCGCCATGTATTCGTCTGGTCCAATTTCGGCGGCTGCAGGAGGCACCATCTCCATCGTTCCAGTGTCAATAACAGTTGCCACCCTCCCTTGTCCTACAGCGGTCGGGGCAGCTAAAGGGATTTGGGAAGGTCCAGCCGACCCTCCTTGCGTCCGAGGTTTCGGACAGTCCTTTGCAAGGTGGCCCGGTTGGTTGCAGTTATAACACCGCATGGGCTGCGTGACTCTTGCTAAGGCTGGGCACGACATAGGGGAGCCAGCGGCTATGGCCGCTTGTTGCCGTTGAGCGGCTGCCGCCCTTTGTCTTTGCAAGCCTTGAACGAATTCCGTCAGGGGGGCCACTACCATAACGAGTTGGGCGGCTACCTCTTTCATGGATATTTCTTCCTCATCCCGGCCTCCTTGCGCCTGACCCGACCGTCGAGAGGTCGAAGTACAGGAAGAACTTCTTCGATCCGTATTCTTCTTTGTCGGTCTCAATCCGAAGTGATCTTCAAATATCCGAGCCGTGGAGGAATAGCTATGGCGTCGAACGCCCGAGGGATCATCTTCGTCTGAGTCTGAATCCAAACCTACGTCATAGTTTTCCTTTCCGTATTTGATAGCGTATTGAATCAGCTCAGTCAAAGTATGTTCTATCGGATTGCATTTCTTGCAGATCTTTTTTCTTCAGCGGGAGTCAGATACCCCCCTAACAAAATCGGTCCGTACCATCTTTTCATCAACCCCGGAGCGTTCGGCCAGGTAAGTAAAACACTCTGCGTACCTAACCAAGGTCTCGCGGGGCTGCTGCATGTATTCTTTTATCAAACGCAAACAGTGCCTGGGTGCGATGTGATCGAATCGTTCAAGAAACTTCGTCTGGAAGGTTGGCCAGTTGGTGCAGAGATTCTGTCCATACCATTCGAACGGAGTTCCGACCAACCTTCCCGGGATTCGTTCTCGGAGCAACTGGTCCGACCAACCCTGGGCTTTCAAGGCCGCCCGCCAGGTGCGTGGATCGGTGTCATCTTCAGAGAAGATGGGAACCTCCGAAAGAGGACGTACAAAGTATAAAGGGTGGTTAGCCATCACCACACGGTGGTCCTCCCCCTGTCCAAGTTCAACCTGGCATCGCGCGAGACATATTTTGAGCCCGCCCCTTCACTCTGTTCGGGCTGCCATTCTCGGGCCGGCGGCGCCGGGGAGCCAGCCTAGCCCAAGATAAGCAAAAATTGTATATGACAGAAAAGGGAAGGTACCCGCAATTGTACAATCGTCCCAAGGAAACCTCGGAGCCGAAATGAATCAGCTCTGATACCAACCTCACGCCCCACTCAGCGTTCCGTACCGGGTCCGCTGATCATAGTAGTAGAGGGGGGGGAAGGGGGGCGTGGCCAAGGATTTTTGGCAATGGGGGGGGGGGGATGGAGCCTCCTAAAACGAAACAGGGGTCTCTAGTTTCGGGTCGAGGGTTGCCTTAGTGGGGGCTCGAGCCGTCGTCCAGGACCTGTCTCTTATACACATCTAGATGTGTATAAGAGACGGGATGGAGCCTCCTAAAACGAAACAGGGGTCTCTAGTTTCGGGTCGAGGGTTGCCTTAGTGGGGGCTCGAGCCGTCGTCCAGGACGAAGGTCGGGCACGGCCCTCGTCTTGTTCAACCGTTGAGCGGGGGGGGGAAGGGGAAGGCCCCAAAAGCGCCTCAGAAACGGGAGGAGCAGGGAGGAAAGCGGGTGAGGAGCGGGGGTTCCCGTTCCTCACGATGTTTGGTTCGCAGTGACGATGGGGGCCGTCGGTCCAGACTTTCCCGACTTCGTCGTCAGGTTCGTCACGGCTGCGGGGCCTCCGGGGGCAGAGTGGGTCGCGGGAACCGTCGTTCGGAAGCGGGCCGGAAGGGCGCCCGCGTTGCGAGAAAGTTCGGGGAACCGAACTGCCCCTTCGTGCCCCAGGACTATCCGTTGCCAGGAGCATGAGTCCCCCTGACGGCACCAGCGACAGTTAAACTGGGGCCGCCACGTGGCGTGGGCCGCGGACCAGGGCAGCATCGTCAGGTCAGTATAAGGCAATACCAGAGATGGGGAGGAGAACCGGTCAATGAGTACAAACCCACTCCCTCCAATATGGAACACTCTGTTGGGATTGTGCCAATGGACCGACTCAGTCCGTCGCAGGGCGCCTCGTACATCCGCGTTGCAGTACACGCTATCGTCGTCGGCGATAGGGAAGGTCGGCAACGTGCTGAGGCGAACTGAGTCGAAGGATGGGCACGGGTGGACACCTGTGCTCACGTTCGACCAGGGCGACCCTGGTTCCATGCAAAAAGCGACAACTTCTCGCCCGACTCTCTCTCTCTAGGCACGCACGAACAAGGGGGCCCCGCCGAATTCGCGGAGACGCCTGCTGGTTACGACAAGCGCGTGCAGCGGACGTCCCCGGTCATCGATGGCGGATACGGGACGACAGCCGCTCACGTCTTAGGACCCCGACTCGGTCGGAAGGAGGGAAGGAGATCCAACTCAAAAATCACCTGCGCACATATCCTACACGACCAAGAGGTTCTGAGGAAAGAAACTAAAGGGGAAGAAGGGAAGAAGGGGGGGGGGGGGGCGGGGAACTGCGATGGCCAACCTAATCATGCATTCATGCAGACATTCGTCACCCGATAGTCCCCAACACACACATCCTTACACGCACTCGCATACTTCCACAAATCGTCTCCTCAACATGCATACAACAAGATACCTGACCCTCGGGACATTGCACACATCACGCAAAGACAAAGCAGCAATGGAGATAAAAGTGAGTTCCTCCATATACAAAAATTCTCAGTTGGCTGGCGCCCCTGGCGCAGCCTCAAAATTCCCCAAGACCACCGACCACCATAGCCACAAGGCCCTGCCGCTATCGGCGTCCAATCTCCACCACCGCTCGGTCCCTCCAGCTGTCTTACCCCGAATCTACTGCTAAGCCCGCCCCGCGTTGTCACTCCGCCCGTCACTTGGGCTCGTCAGCCTTTTCGTCGCCGCGGACTTCGCGCATAGCTCGCGCAGCATTGTAGCCGAGATCAAAGAGAGGGAGAGGAAGGGATTGAGAGAATTTATAGCGCGGGAGGCGGCGGGTTGTCAGCGCGATGTGCGGGTAGCATGGGTTGTAGATGAGCAGAACACAAGAAGGGCCGGGGTTTCAGAAGGATCGGCGGGGTTGAGTCGGTTGACCCAGGTGATCGGGGTGTTCGTTGAAACAGTGCGCCCTTTCCTTCACCGCATTGATCCGAGCATCCCAATCACCTAGCCAACCAGCTCTCAACGAAGGGGGGGGTGAGGGATCGGACTTTGCTCGAGGGAAGACGAAGAGGCATGCAAAGAGGAAGCGCGCGACAAGAAGGGAAGATGGCGTTGGGATGCAGGCGGGGGAAAGGGTTTACGCGGCGCGCAAGAATTCGAAAACAGCCGCGCCCGCAAAAATTTAAAAGAAGAAAAAGAAATCCCAAAAGTCCTATCTATATTAATTCCTAACTGTTTCTTGGCGCGGCCACTATTCGACCACGCGGAAAATGGCCTTTAAGGGCCGTTATGAAAAGAAGGACAAAAAGGGGAGGAAAAATAAAGAAAGAAAGGAAAATACACCCCATTTTTCCCAATCGCTTAGGCTCCGTAGTTCGGGGCTTTCGTAGGATTTTCCCGTAAGGGTACGGAAAACCGCGGAGTACGGTTCCTAGCTTATCACAAGCTAGCTCAATGATTCTCTTGTTCCCCCAAAAGGCGTTTTTTTAAAAAAACTGTACGAGCCTCCTTCCGTTTGCCATTTTTGTGCGGGATTCTGGCAACTCTTTGTTTTCTGCTGTGGAAGTACCCGTGTGCCACTCCAAGGGCCTCGTTCGACACCACTTGGAAATTGCTGTTTTTCAAGGAAGCGTTGTTCGACCCCGCCTTAATCATGCACCCTTGAAGTCTCTAGTTGTTTCCACATCCCCGAGGCCAAGTGTCCGCCCTTGAAAAGGAAGTGCGGCCCAAGCAAATCGACGAAAATCGCAAGGGTGCCTCGGGAGGTCACTTGGGGCGCAAGGGTTTCACCTTTCAAAACGGGTAATATACAGACCCTTTTTTTTTTTTTTTTTTTTGCCCACCAATCACCACTGTTCGTTATGCAATGACGCCAGCACTTCAGTTTCAAGGACGACTGTCTCAAGGGTTTCGTCAAGGGGTTGTGGAATGAAAAAACAAGTTAGGGGAAATTAATCACCTTCCGTGAGTTAGGGTGCCCTTGAAACTCAAGTATTTTCAAGTGGTGTCAAGCGAGGCCCTCGTTTGAAATTGAATTAGATTTTTTTTTTTTTTTTTTTTTTTTTTTTTTTTTTTTTTTTTTAATGATAAAAAGCAAACGAGGCCGGGGACCTCACAATTCTACCCGGAGGGCAGCATCAGCCAGTTTAGCTTTCAGTCAATAGACTGAGGACTTGCAACCCAAACCCTTACATCTCCAAAAGCTAGATAGACAGTCCAATCTGAGAAAGGTAGAAACCAACAAGGTTTAGCAACAGACAACTCTAACTAGAGAAAGGTAGAAACCAACAAGGTTTAGCAACAGACAACTCTAACTAGAGGACGGGGAAATTAAGTAATCCAACCATTAACAATTCCTACACCTATTCCAAACTTCTATCATCTATTGCCTATAGCTCAACAAGTGGACTAGTCCCACTTTGCCTTACAAAGAATCACCAACAATAACTTGACTTTCTGATATTTAAACCATTACTTCTAGCAAGATCAGAAGATGTACTGACTGAGTAGCAGCTATCTATCGACACTAATTAATTCATTAAAGATCTAGAACCTATTGACAACCCATCAACCAACACAAAAGTCCTCACCTGGGTACTTCAAAGGTCATACTATTCCTAGTGTGTTGAAAATCAAAAGATCAGAGCCCGGGCCTACCAACACGGCCCTACCCCTCAAATCATGCCTATAGCGGCCGCAACAAGGTGTCAAAGCATGTCTTTCCACCACTTAGTTCCTGTCTGGAGTTAACCAATCAGCAAAGGAGAGGTTGCCCTCTGGAGAAATCGATACTACACTGTTGTTTTGGAGCCAAGTCTGAGAAAACCACAATCGACCTTTACGTCGATGAGCCCGAGCGTTGTGCCAGTCGACTAAAATATTCTGCCTAATCAGGGACTTTATGGCACAGATCTGTGTCTGAAAGAGAGTACATTCTTGTTTGAAAGTAGCCCTATTGCGGGCTTTCCACAAAGTTTCCATAACTGCCCCCCGCGAGACTAAGGCTACATATTGCCAGCCCTTAGAGAAGTCAGTCCCTTGACTTGCCAGTACAACTAA